ATGACCAAGGACAGTGCATTTGAAGCATGCCAGTCAATACCTCTTGACCAGGATCCAAAGAATTCAGCAGCTTGGGTATACTTAGCAGAAACCCTGGGTTTATTCCCTTTGAACAGGAGTACCCAAAACTATAAACTAAGAAACTCCTTGAGAGAGGTCTGACATGTGGTATGGTGAGTTTCTGTTTCTTAAATACTGTTGTGAGCTAGGCATTCCCTCTCAAGCAAGAGAGTCTCTCCAGCACTTCTTGTAAGCATCATTATTCTATATAGAAGACTCTAAGCATCTACAAGCCTCTGAGCATACACAAAGAGATGTTGAACCCTTTCTGCCAACCCAAAGCTTGCTCATGAACCCTTCGGGGCCTGTCTCTGGAAGGAGGGCTGCTGTGGAACTGGGTGCGCCTACGTTCTGCACTCTGAGCTCCTAATTGGGCCAACAGGCCCTCGGGTCCACATCTTCAGAAGGCAGGCGTTCTCCATCCGAGAAACTACCCATTTCCAAATCTCCTCTCTCCCATCCTTCGTCTGCTTCATTCCCACAGGCGGGAGGGAGTCTGGGCCTCAGGGGTGTCCTTGAGCTACTTTCATCCAGAGCGGGCTCGGACTGGCACTGAGAGACTGAGTCTGCAGGTGCGGGGCTGTCTGTTGCAAGAACAGTTCCATTATCGGAGTCTGAGCTCTGAGCCGGTGTGGTTCAGCCAACCCCTTATCATCCTTAGAGACTAAGCTATCAGTCCCACCAAAATGGGCCGCTTCTTGTACACACCTGGGAATCTTAGCAAAGTGCATGCACATGACGAATACAAGGCCAAGACTCCTTAGGACATTTATCTTCACCATACCATCAGCATCATCATGCTAAATGATATACATCAGGGGTAACAGAGCCTCAGGCCCAGGTGGCTTTCCAGGTTTGTCTAGAAGACTGTGCCCCCTTCCCACGGCACCACTGCCTTTCTGGAAATGATGCTGCTGAACATAACGTACAGGCAGTGAAGGCTTAAAGCTAAAATAGGCAGGTGTTCTTGGTCCCTCCCATTTTGCTTTGGGCCCCATCCACACTGAACCCCACAGCTTCTCTAAATGGAATTCAGCTCTCAAGCTGAGAGAGACTCTGCAGCTCTGCTATACATAAGCTAGGTACAAATAGGACATGCCTGCAAGCTTTCAGTTCAAGTTAGCACTGATCGTACTGGAGAGTTGTGACAGTACCCTTTGTGCTATGCCAAGTATATGTGAGAACCGCAGACCAGAACAGTAACAGCAAAGCACACACCATAGCCTAGGATCTAAACAGCCACTTCTGGCATTCCCAGTGGAGCTTTCATCCCTTGAACAGAAGGGGCCCAAATTTGTGAAATTCCCTTAATGCTGAAGAGATTAGACATGCAGTATGGTCTAAGGTGCAGGGGGAGATAGCTTGGGAAGCACATGATCCTTTAGGATCATGGAAGTAATGAACACTTCTTTTGATCCAAAACAGAATCCAGGAAGCAAAAATATTTTGCCAGAAAGATGGAAATAATCTGATGCAACATTTGAGTTTGCCTCAAAAGAGGCAAAAAACAGCATCCAAACATGTGAGGAAAGTGGATTTCTGGCCTCTTACTTTCTGAACAGAATTTACATCCTACAGTACAACAGATAGATACCAAGTGAAATCATCCACTAGGTGGCACTATGTGATTTGAAAGCCAGCCTTCTCAATTATACAGTAAGCCATACAGACCCACCATTGAATCCAAGGAGTCTTGAAGAGCCCTGCTGGGTAGCCAGCAGTTGTGGCTGGAGCCAAGAGAGAATTGGGGTTGGGGAAGAACTGGGGGTGTTGGTAATGAAACTGGATGAGGCCCTCATTCATGAACATGGAGCTGGTCTTGGATCTGGGATAAATCTAGCCAAAGACTTGGCCTTGGAGCAGAAGAGGGAGCAGAATGTCAGACTGCACTGGCTGAGCCATGAGACACAGGATAAGCAGGCAGGTCCTATTGTGCCCAGTGGAAGGAAGGACAGAAGCAGGTGGGTTTGCTTTTGAACAATAAACGAGGCAAGCAATCCATGAGGGTGGGGAGAGGGCTGGAGGGACCCCTGGAACTGCTCCTCCTCTGTACCACTGCATCCTGCTAGTTCATCTGCCTTTCACCCTGGCCCAGACAATGGTGGTGGAATGAAGGAAGCAGGCACACCAGAGACTGCTGCCACTCACCAACTGCCTATCAAGGAAGCAAAGGATATCAGTGCTGAAAGAGTGAACAGGCAAGTTAGAAGGTAAGGCTCAGCAAGGCGAGATCGTGCTGAGGCTATCTTCCCCAAGCGTCTTCAGAAACTTGGAGCTGGCCTTGCAAATAGGGGAGGTTTAAACCTTTCCTTCCTAATTACCTATCCTTAAATTTGTCAGTCCCTGCAGAATCAAAGAGGAGGGGAGAGAAAAGCACCCTCCACTGGAGCTTCTGAGTATGTCAACTTGGCCCTTCATTTTCATATCACTTGGAAGTGGTATTAGCTCTTATCTCTCCACTTCCAGAATCCTCTCCCAAGCTTTATCTTGTAACTTTCTATGAAGAATGCAGAATTGATCACCACAAGGAGGAAGAAGGCTGAGAGAGAGGGAGAGGGAGAGGGAGAGGGAGAGGGAGAGTGTGCATGCCAAATGGATATGTATAAATAAATGGATGGAATCAGTTTGCAACATTTTGGGGCGGGACTTTTCAGCAGCTGTGGATGACATCAAAGACATCAAAGACACACTGGAGAGCCAGTGTGGTGTAGTGGTTATGAGCATGGGACTGGGACTCAGACGACCTGGGTTCTAGTCCCCGCTCAGCCATGGAGCCAACTGGGTGACTTTGGGCCAGTCACAGACTCTCAGCCCAACCTACCTCACAGGGATGTGGGGATAAGATGCAGGAGGAGAATGATGTAAGCTGCCTTGAGCCCTTTGTAGGAAAAAGGCAGGATATAAATCCAAAAAAAAAAAAAAGTAAGGACAGATGACCAATACATAGGTTACAGATTTCCCAAAAGGTCACAAGGGAGCAAGTGGGAACTATTCCAAGCTTTTAATGGTCTACTTGACCCACTCAACCATGGCCTAGAACAAGAGTTTGCACAAGTAAACCAACACTGAGCTCATCCACCAATCCTCTGCCCCAGGTCACAGGGCACTGACAAAAAGCAGTGCGGTTGCTGGCACCCTTCATGTCAACACGCCATTTCATTTTAACTGCTTTTTAAAAACATGAACTGTACGGGAGACAGCACTGCCTGGACAGAAATGGGTGCCAAGGCTAACATCCCTCCTGACCTAGAATTCTACACCGTTACTGAGGAAAGACCTTGCAGTGCATGGATTTAGCTCAGATTTCTCTAGTCCAGAGTTGCAATATTGATGGAAATGCAGGCAGACACAAGCAAACCATCAAAAAATTATCTGTGGTTGTCTAAAAATGTGCATGTCTCACAATATTGTCTTTTCAAACACTTCCAGGTTTCAGAAACTTTTAAAAAATGTTGAGAACACTAAACTTCCAGATTCTTTGCCACACCTGCCCTGTTCACAACCCTAAACCTTAATACATTTTGCAAACAAAACATAAACATTCCTGAGCTTAAGATACTGGCTGGAAAATGTGCACTTCCACAGTGCACCATTTTGCGAAAATGAGTATTTTATTCTTATTCAAAGAGAATAAGGGTGTGTGGTTTAAAAAGTATGCATCCAAATGTATACTTTTCCTTTGTGAACAACAACAAAAGCCGGCAACTGAGAACCAAAATGGGGTGGACTACATTTCAAAGTAGTAGCAGAGAAACCTCCATAGGTCAACCTCCACTAATTCTTCCTTCCAATCTGAAGCATCTTGGCTAACTTCTAAATGTGCTGACCACCAGGAAAGTCTTAAGGAGTTTTAGAAGGCACTTGCAGGGGGAAGAGGAGGATGTGTAAAAACCCATCGCAGAAGCAGTAGCCCTCTGTATACAGTAGCCCAGGGCTCCTTGCTAGCCCCCCCCCCCACCCATTTCTCTTCCCACCCCCTTGATTAGTCAGGCCCTCACAACAGTTATTATGTGACTAGAAACATCTTTTGGGATCAGTTTTGTGGTAGTGTCCACAGCAGTTTCTTAAATTCCCCAATATGCCCATAGGTACACAGAAGGCTGGGTACTGCAACTGTAGGACATTTTTCAGTCTGCAATGACACACTTTCTTGCTCTCTATATTTGCTGAATCAGATCACGGCAGCAGCATTATCTCAGCTACCGGAAATAGGTCAAAATCAAAATTTGTCAGGAGATACTAAACAGCATCAGTTCATCACTGCTAAATGACTCCCAAGAGAGTAATCCTAGAGTCCTTTGACTTTTGCTTTGAATTATTCTTCTGAATGAAAGAGTACTTGTAAATTTGTGTTCTTAAAAAAAGAAGTGACAGATAGCTGACAGATGGGTAGAATAGCTACAGTGGCACAATTATGCTCAAGCCAAGCCTAAAGGCGGCTTAAAATAATCTCAAAGAAAGAAAGAAACAGGATAGATAAATAGAATTATATAAGGAAGGGAAATGGAAAAGGCAAAGAGTCAGTGCCAAGGACTGAAAAAACAGATGGGCAGTTAATAAAGTTTGTGTGCCTTTAATGTTTTCCTTATAAAACAGCCTTCCCAAATATAACATCTTCTCAAACTGTTGGACTGCCATCTCCCATAATTTCCAGCCAGCATGGCCAGTGACTGGGAATTACAAGAATTGCATTCCAATATATTGGAGAGTGCCAGATTGGGAAGTCTGTAAGAGAGGAATTCCAGATACACTTCTGAGCAATGCAAGGACTAGTGAAGTACCTGGTAGCCACAACGGAACAACTGATGAGTGGTATTTGGCTCGACAAATCACATACCATGCAGGTCTGGATTCATGTGACTGTGCTGTAGCTGCCTTTTTTTTCCTGCTCTTGGAACAGAGAATAGGGATATACTATGATTCACATGTAGGCTCCTCACCTGTAGCCCTTCTCTGACTGCTTCAAGAAGATAGGGAACAATGGAGTAGTTCCACAGATCAGTAAACCAGACCCTGGAACCATCAACATCTATAGGACAAGAAAGGAAGAGTCGTGGACCTGTGAGAATGAGAAGAAGAAAATTACCTGCTAAATATCATTGGTGAACTTGATAGTATTTATGCCAACATTGAGCATGGAAAAATATGAGGGCAGGGGAGAGAGGGAGCACACACATGACAGAGAAAAATACATAAAAAGACAAAGGAGAGAGAATGAAGAAATCTAGTTTTTTTAATCAAGTTCTGGGAAATATGCCATGATTTCCAAAAGACAATTCTCACCAATAGTAACATCAGAAGAACTGTGAGCCTCCAAGAACTTGTTGAGATGCTGCCAGACTTTGGGAATCCAATCTATGATCTTAACCAGTTCTGCATTTCTTGTCCTGCCACCAATTTCTGTTTCAATGAGTTTTCTTCTCAAGAAACGACCAAGAAAGCCCTTGACTGGTTCTGTATGGTTGGCACAAAGTACCCATCTGAAGTTGTGGTGTAGCTGAAGGTTGGGTGTAGAAGACGTTGCTTGGTTCATTGTTCCAATAATATAAGGACTATGGGAAACAGATTAGTCAATATTAAATTTAGAAAAATTTCTTAGGTCTTTTCCCGAAGAAAACAATCCCTCTATTTTTTTGCTACTACCATTGAGATAGGAGTGGAGTATGTTTGAGGTGAGTTACTTTGATAGCTGCCCCACTATCCCCACCTCCAATATTGACTGAGTTTCTATTGTTTCACAGAATGTTTCAAAACATTTAATCTCCTCAGCAAACAGTACAGATCCTGTGAGGGAAAATGTGGTGAGTTTGCCAAGCCAAAATGTCCACTTAGTTTGGAATATTGAGTAGGCAAAGAAATCAGTTGAATGAGAAGCTGGGTGAGAAGAAGGAAGATGGCTGAAGGAGGAGGGAGTAACAGGTATTAGAATCAGAAGCAGGGACCCAATTTGTAGTTATTCTTGAATTTATACCCTACTTTTCAACAATGATTCCCCAAAGCAGATTAAGGAAAGACAATGCAAAGGAGACAGGAGTCCAGGTGAAATGGAGAGCAAGAAGTACAATACTTGGAAGAGTGAACACAAAGAAAGGTCAAAAAGAAAAGACACAGACCCTAAGGACAGGAGTAGCTCTCTGCTGGAAGGCAGTGGCAGGCAAGAGGACTTCAAAAATTATGAGAGAAGGAGAGAACATAGCCAAAGAGGTAGTTTAGGGAGTCCGAACTGCAGACAGTAATTTGAACAAACAATGTTAAGCAACCATATCTTCAGTGGCAGGTCTTAGGTTGGTGCTGGCCTAAGCTAATAATCCTCTATGAGCTTACCCTGATGTAAGCTCCACAGCACTCACTGGGACATGCTTATAAGTAGAAGCAGAACTGCACTATGTTAGTTTACTTAGTGACAGCAATGGGATGCAAAAGTCCCGACCAACTTTTTACAATGGTTTCAGTGACACCTACAGTCAAGTAACTTAGTCTGGACAGAGTCCACTCTGCTCAACATTAAGACTGAGGGAATATTCCTGAAGCAAGCACCCTGGCAGTCACTGAACTTTGAGGCACTGCGTGTTATTACCATTTGTGGTACTTGCAGTTTAAGAGCCCATTGAAGATCTCTCCCAGGGAGCTAACATGGTGCAGGTTGTCCAGGATGATCACCAGAGGCATTTCCACAGCATTATTTTCACTATTGCATTGGTCAGCAAGGTTGGAAAGGTACTGGCGGAGTTCCTGAAATACAATTGCAAAAAGAAAATGATGTTAGCACTTTCTTTTGGAAAACTGAAAAGAAATCGATCCTGCTAGATTCAGTGTTAAAACAGTGTTCAAAAGTATAATGCATATAATTCCCTTTCTTTTCCTCAATAAAAATAGCTTTTTGAATGGAACTGGTAAATCAGAATAGCTTGGGCAAACTCTGACTGAGAGCTTGGTGTCACAGCAGGGAGTAGGGCCAGGACCATGAAGATCAGGAGCTACATGCCACAATGAAGGGAAGAGACGAGATGAGGCAAGAGAAGCAGCAATGTTGACAGGGTTGCTTGGTAAAGCTACTGAGACACCAGTAGGTCCTCCTCACATGCCTTCCACAGGAAACTATCAGATGTGAGAACTTCATCACTCAGGTGGGCTTTGTTCGGACAGACTTAGCATCACAAATGGCTACTCCAGGACAGAGTGTAAGAATCTCTAAACAAAATTAATTCATAACAGTGCCATGGCTCACCAGATAATAACCTTCTCCTCCTGCGGACAGTCTACAGGTCTGTCTTTAGGCCACACCTGGAGGAAGCCCACCTCACTCTTTGAGCAGTGCTATCCACTTACTTGGTCAGGGTGAAGTGCAAGGCCCCATATGCCACCAAATGCAATTGTTCAAGCAGGAAACTTTCCCCAGTGTAGAAAGAAACATTATTTTGGTCATGTCAAATTCTGTGCTCACCTTACTGGACTTATGATCCACATTAAATGTTGCAATAGCACCATCAGCCAGCTCCCGGCCCTCTCTAAGTACAATATACTCTGAGAGACGATTAGCTAAGTATGTCTTTCCTGTGCCACTTGGACCAGATAAGATGATTCTCCTATGTTCCAACAAGAGTGACACGTAACGTTGCAATATAGGCTTTGGGATCAGAGACTCAAATACGAGACAGTCCAAACTATTCTCCACGATACCTGTAAGAACAGATGTCATTGCTTTTAAAAAGTTGTTTGAGAAAGTCATCTAGATGTTTTAAGGATTTTAATTGATTTCCAAAGTTATGTGCTTCACTCAAGGAAAATTAGGAGTATCCACTCCTTAATATCATGCACTATCTTTTATACCTCCCCATCACTAAGATCTTTAAAACAATGTTTAGCAAATGTTTATACTAAGACAAAAAAGATGAAAATATTCATATTACTTATATTGAATATAACATTGCTTCTTACAGAAAAGAAGGAAATCAAGGGGGGGCGGAAGAGATAATGGCATGGTTCACATGACATATAATCCAACCGTGGATGATCAGCAAAATGAGCAGTTCTGGCCGGGTGCTTTATTTTTCTCCTATAAGCCACCCCAAGAACCCACAGCTTGTTTTAGGGTTGCTCACACCCATAAAGGTTTGTCATGTTGCCTGGACCCATCAGGCCAATATTCTTGTGAGTTGTGGGAATGGCTAGAGAGCTGCCCAGGCCTTCTGCTGTTCTCCAAAGCTCTCTCATGCACCTGCCAAGCTCTCTTATCACTTCTCAGCTGGCAGCTGCCCTTAAATTTCTACAATATTCTCCTCCATGTTCCTGCTTTGCCCTAACATTTGTGGATGTTTCTCGCTCCTGCTCACAGCTTGTAACCCATTTCAAGTTATGACAACTAGCCATGGAGGGAAGCAACCAGCAATAAGTTCTTAAACTTAAGTCAGAAATCAGGCATATATACTGGACTTTACACAAAGTGACTGGTGAATATGCACATTTTCATGAATGAATGCAGAACATGCAACAACTGATACTATCAACAGGAGAGAGTCCAGACCATACGTATAATCACATTCAGTGCTGGAAAAATCTTCTGGACATGTATATTTGTTGAAAATATTCTTTTAGTGATGGGCAAAACGTATTTCCAAGTAGAAAATATGTATGCCTACTCACAAATATGCACATCATGCTGTTGATAATGGCATATGCCACTGTATCATTGTCCAGTTGTGCAAGGCTCACTAAAGTTTTATGTGTGCCACCTACACAATCTCCAGTATCTCCCAGTCATTATGCTATGTCGCACCCAGTCAAGCATGCCTTCCTCCAGGACATTCCACTCCATCTACCCCTGACTCCAGTTTCTGGATATTTTCCCAAATGATGCTTAATATTCCATGCCTACAAAGCAAATTCAGTGTCTGATGATCTATAGGAGGGAGGGTGGGGAAAAGTTATCTCTTCAGATCTTTGTGGATGTGTCTCTGTATGTGAGAGAGAATTTGTTTCTGCAAACCTCAGGATTCTCTAAGTGTGCTGATAAGCTATCTCACATTTTGGCTGCAAAACGAGCAGCACTCATTACCTTACAGAGAATTCTATCTTTTCTGGCAGAGGAACTTGTACAAGAGAAAATTTATGCGATGTCAGCAGGCAGGACTGACTGATTCAGAAAACAAAGCCAGCAATTCTTAAAAGCCAGCAGATGGCAGTTCAGCTGGGCGATCACATGGATGTGGAATGTTTAGCACTCCAGCTAAAAATAATCAGGATCAAACATTTGTATGAACAGCTGTATATCTGGAAGGTGTAAATGCTTTACTAGCTTACCACAAAATGATTGAAAGATCATTGCAGCCAATCTCTCCCTGTCCCTCTCCCTGTCCCTCTCCGTGTGTGTGTGTCTGTGTGTGTGTGTGTGTGTGTGAGAGAGAGAGAGAGAGAGAGAGAGGGGGGGGGGGCTGACACTTCAAGTCTCACGTTTAACTTGGCATGTTTTTTCTTACAAACCCTACAAATCCTTAAACAACACCAGATTGTTAACACAGCAATGAACTCAAGAAAAATGAAACCGTAGTTGACTCCAAGATTATTTATTTTGCTTTCTTCCTCCTTGTTAGTTCTCTCCATCATTTCAGGCCACCACATTCCACTCCATCCCAATCTTATGCAGTGTCTTGGGAGAACTGGTGGTATACAAGTTACCCTTTCTACCAATTGGATTACCAATGGGAAGCCCTGCTGTTCGAGTGGAAGTCTACTTGCACATAATGGATAAGTACACTTATTTGTCATGTTTGCAAACCATTATGTATAAAATAAAGTTGCATTTTAAGTACCATGTTTCTTTTGCACTAGTTAATTTCCATGATATAAATGCAAATCATTAGTGCCCTGCGTATGCCCAGGGCCTTCCCATTTTTATGCAGAAGAAAACTATTTCGCATGTATCATGTAACATTCTCTTCTAAATTATTCCTTCAGTTGAAGAGAATACAAAGTCACTGAATACACTCAGCTTTCTATCACATTCTGTAGATCAGGAGCGAAACCTCTTTTTGTTCAGTGGCTATGCTGTATACCATATTCTTGGACCAAGCATGCCTTCAAGAAATTCAGACCAATTGCATCAAGGGTCCCTCCCTGACCTCTCTGAGTGTAGGGACAGCACTTCCACACCCTTCTTCAAGCCAAGGAAAGCACAGAGCTCTGTATCTCTCTCTGCATGGAGAAAGATACCCAACTGGCTGAGCTGGCTTCTGCAAGCACTGGCCAAGTCAGGCACCTTCTACTCACAAAGCGCTTTCTTACTCGTATATGGGATTTGAGCAGTGCTGCAAGAGACTTGGCTGGGGCTTGGGATTTGGTCTTGCAAACTATCCCCTTGTTATCTCCAGACACAGAAAAGACAGGAATTTCTTTTCCCAGCACAGGGGAAACTTGGTGGTGGTGGACTGTGCCCAACTTTCTGTAGTCTGAATTAGATACCTCTCTGAACCAGATTAAGCCTACTGTCCAGAGGTTCTCTCTTCTGCTGTTAAGTATATGTTATACTGTATTTACTTAGAATGAAGGTTTGGAGATATTTGCGTTGCAGACAACCTTTGCTGAGTTACAAGGACGGTTCCAATACCCTGTTTTGTGTTTGACTGATCCCTCTTACAACAAAGAGTACTTCAAGAATAAGCAAATTACACCAGTTAGCAAGAGAACGGCATTAAAAAGAAATTTGCACATTCTCTTTAATACAGGAAATGCCTTGAACACATTAACTTCAAGCAAATGAATGTGGCTGCATCAGAAATTGCTCACTGATAGAGCCATGCAATTTAAGGAAAAGCTTTACGTAGTCAAGGAAGAAAATAGATAAGCTCATTAAAATCTGCACTACTCCTCTGAGGTCTTTCCAGTGCTGAAGACTGACAAGACCTGTAATTACAAAAAACGCTAACAAATGAATTATCTATAATTTACCTTTGATAGACACTGAGATGGTGTTGTTTTCACCAACCAGGTAGCCACAGGGCAGCAGCTCAGGTGTCTCGGCGCTATTTGTGCGAATGATTTCCCCAATGCTGTATCCCAGGACACTGTCTGAATTCAACCCTAGCTGACTCACAGGATCTACATGAATGATGTATTCCTGGGAAGGGGAAGAGGAAAAGAAGAAAATAAGGTAACTTTACCTTCATGGTCCCTGGCTTTAATCATGAAAGTCACAACTAGGTACATTTTAGATATTTGGAATGAAGTAATCCCAAAATGAGTACCTCAAGAAACAAGTTATGGAAAAAAGAAAGGGAAATCTAAAGCCTATTTTAGTTAAGCCAATATTCACACCCATTTGAGTGAACACTGTACCAAACTGGAGTAGGCGGCAATGGATTTGTGCAGAAAAAAATAACATCGCATAGCAAGCCACTGGAGACTGATTATCATGCTTAGTTCCTAGATAAGAGTGTTAATGTAAGACTTTGTATTTGTATTGTATCTTTAATCTGGAGAAGCACATGGAGGAGGAGTAACTGTGTAGTGGAATGAAAATTCTGTATTAATTACAAATGAAAGACCTCAGATGTTGGGGTTGAACAAGAGGATGCTACGATAGCCATGCTTTATTTCCACAGGTATCAGGCAGGACGCTTTTGCACAGGGTATAAGATTAGAGCAGAGTTTCGATCTGATCAAGCAAGGCTGTTCTTATGGTCCTCTGTACAGCCAATGACATAAAGTGCAAAGCAGTGGTACCCTTCTACCCCATGGTGAGATGGCAATATCACAAATATCAGGTGAAATGTATGAGTTGCTGCTTCAAACGCCCCAACCCAGTCTTCTCCAACTTGGTGCCCTGCAGACATTTTGGATGACAACTTCCAGAATTTCTGATTCAGTGCCCATGCTGGCTGGGACTGATAGATGCTGGGAATCCGAAGAATCTAGAAGACATTAGGCTGACAAGAAGCACGAGTCTCCCGTAATTTGTGTTGGCATTTATTTGACTATCTGAAGTAGCAGACACTGAATGCCTTGCCTAAGATCAAGACCTATTTTAACAGTTAATAGAAGTTAATTAGAAGAGCATCTTATATTCTGACTCCTCCAATTCTCTTTTTAACTTTAATTTTGTATTTCTAATTTTGCCACAGAATAGTGAACTCACAGCAAAACAACAATGTAACATACAAACCGTAAGCCAGTATTTATTATCTTTTTAATGAAAGGTTCTTCTTTTTCTGCTTTTCTACTACATTATCTCTAGATGGTGCTGTGGTATGGGGGAATAGTGCTATTATACAAGCCTTTCCTTTCACTTTTACAAACAATAGGAAGTTGCTGGTTCTAAAAAGAAAACTTACCAGAAATATGGTTTAAAAACAGAAGCAGAACTGGACACGTACTGTAAATAACCATTAGTGACAAGCATATGATAAAAATAACACCATCTACCTTAAACAGTCTTCTGACAACTCCATCCAGGACATCCCATTTGGTCTTTCCACTGACTCCTATGCAGCCAATAAGGAAGAGGCGAGGCCTAGAATCCTAAATACACGTACACATGTTAAAAGAAAGCTAGACTCTGCAGTGCTTCTTTTAAAATAGGAGAAGCTGCATACATATCCCATGTATAAGTCACTATGATCCACCAATGCTGGTGCCCAGACTTGCGATGAGATCTGCTCCTCTGACTTCTCTGTGACATGGGGGAACAACTCTGCACATGCAGACGTAAACAGAGCATACCCTCAGCCAGAGACAGGGAACATGTGGCCTTCTAGGTGTTGCTAGAACTTCCACCCCTCACCAGCAGCAGGAGATTCAGGCCATTATCTTCTGGAGGACCACATGTTCTCCACCCCTGATCTTAGCATAAAGGATTCTGTAGGTGTGCTGGCACCTCACCAGCACTTCTGTCATGGCCGCAGACTCAAGCCTAGTGCAAACTATTCCAAATAGTGCAAACTATTCCAAGCTTAACATTGTGAAGTAAATATGGATGACAAGCTGGGGTTTTTTTCTTTGTCTCAATCATTCTTTCTATATTCAGCTGGCAGATCAATGTGGATGCAAACATAGGACTATCAGCATTTGTATGATTGTAACAAGTATTGCTTTTATTACTGTATCCTTGCTACTTGAGAAGTACTTGACAAAACCAAAAACCAACAATAAATATAATCAACAAAACAAAGAAAGAAAAGGAAACAGGGAACAGAAATGTTATTGAAGCAGGACAGAAATCAAGTCATGTAACAAATACATTCTATTGATTTTCAAAGGCTGTTGAGAAAGGTTTTTTCCTTCTTCTCAAAAACCAGACAGGCTTGGTCTGAGAAAGCACCAGGCTAACTCCTGGATTAGAATAGGAGGTGCTTTTTCTGATTTACTGCAAATTCCTTGCCTTCAGAAAGCAAGCTGAAATTCACAGGTATGCCTCTGTTTGCAGAAGGCATTGCACAATCTCTTCCACACTCAAACTATGTTGACCTCTATCTCTTGCACAATGGTTCACAGAACAATGCCACTGCTGAAGTTTCTTCCCCTGCTACTGAATTACTAGATGAGACCCACTGTTTATAGGTCAAAACCCATAAACAAGGGTTGGGCAACAGATAGCCCATGGGCCGCATGCAACTCCCTTGCTGCACTAAAAGTGTCAGCAGAAATGTCACGCTTGCTTAAAAACAAGATGCAGAGCCAGTGCATTCCATTCTTTAATGCAAAGGGTTGTACCCCTCAGGGTTCAAGAGCCCAATTTCATATTTAACGTGTACATGTAGGGTTTCCCCCCCTCATAGTTAAGCAGAATAGTCAGAGGGCTGTTCCTCACTGGCCATAATTTGTCTCCTGGATCCTACACAATTGCAAATCACCAACACCACCACCACTTTGGACAGTCATCTAAATGGGATGGTGTAACTTAGTGTTTTGCAACAGCAGGGGGTTGGACCCAATGACCTTCCAGCCCCTTCTGACTCTACTATTCTATGATTCTATACTACTCCCCTTGAATTGTGTCCAGAAGATACACAGCAGCCAAATCCAATCTGCAAAGAATCAGCTAAAATATGTATTTCTCTTCTATACAAAATCTCTTCTATATGAAATCTTTGAGATCTAGCCCCAAGTAAAGGATTTTGGTATAAAGTCATAAAATGTCCTGCGTGACACTGCAAGTTTCCTAAAAACCTTGTTGACAGACAGGTGCCTCTTTCATTGCCCTGCACCTGATTTGTGTCTTGGATCACGTCGTACTAATTGGAGATGGGGGGATGGTGGTGGCAGTTATTTTAATTTAAAACCAGTGAGCAAGAGAAAGGCCATAGGGCATTTTTCAGCTTATACAAGACAGATCTTGAAACCGTGTTTAATTCAGTTTTCCTTTTATTTGTTCCAAGTTTCTAAGGCATTAGCAGGTCTGGACTTCACAGCACTTAGAACACCCACAGTTGCTGGCATGGTGTCTATAGCAGAACTCCAACCATAAACTCAATGAAAGAAGGTGCAAGGCAGGTCATAGTGGGAACCAGGCCAAAACTGATCTTTTGGGAATGGAAGCAGTTTTGCAAATATGGCCACTTCCCACTCAGCCTTCTAAAAATGAAAAAAAATGTTGCAAATATTACTTACTCCTCTCTGTCTCAGTTGCAGGAAGAAATGGGCATGGGCTACAGATCAGCAAGAGGAGATTCTTGCAGAAGTGTATGTTGGGAGGTAGCACCACCAGGTGCAGGCTTTGGGACATGTTGGATCCCCTCCCCTACTGCATTTATCTCACCACCATGGTCACCAGCTGATACTGTAAATCATTCTCTCTCTCATCATTGCTACTACTTGCTTCCTTGACTGGAAGAGAACAGGGAGCAGGTAGGCACAGACACAGACTGGGTCTCCTACTGATCACCAGCATTATCATGACCAGACTGACAGACAGGTGAATGAGCATGCGGAAAGGATCAAGGGGCGGGGGACAATTCTGAGGGGCTCTGGCCTGTGGTCCTCTGGATGAGTGTGGGCTCTGAGCAGGTGCCCATCACTCCCCACTCTTGCCACCAGCTCTGGTAAGGGCACTGCAGCAACTAGCCCTTCTTGTGCCCTGCACTGGAACATGCTTTAAGCAATTCCTCTTAACTTTCAGTTTAAGCATGGCATTCTTCTATCAGCCAGCATTTAGGTTTCATCACTCAGAATGATGTGGCCTAGTCCTTATGAACTGGTAAACCTGAGTCTTGGCTATACCACCTGCCTATAGGTAGAAATTTACACAACAAAAGTAATTAGTGGGGGGGGGGAATCTGCACAGAGAAACCCAGAACTTATGGAAGATTCTAGAGTAGCCTTTTCCTCAGCTTGGTAGTTTTCTATGTGTCAGGATGTTTTTTAAACTGAGAACATTTTGTCAGGTGAGCCCTTACCTTGAGTCTAACAAAGTACTCAAGTTTAGACAAAAGTTTATCAATCTTCAGTGGACTTTAAGACTTGGCTGGCTGAGGCAGATGTGAAATATCAACTGTTTTCTCATAGTAAGCAAGGTATAGAAAGAAAGTCTATTCCCAGAAATGTATCTTGGCAATTACTACCACTTCAGTTTTTCAGATAATCCAAGCTGTTCCAAATAAAACTACAGTGCAGGGACCAAAGTTGCTTAAACTTACTTCTTTCCATTTCAAGTCATCCTGAAAGCTGATGACTATTTTAACATGCCTGCCACCTTCTTTCCTAGAAGAGCCATCACTGGGGTCATCCAGCAGCATGTCTGTGAACAGGAAAAACACCTTCTCTATTAATTACATACAGACAACTAAGAAGGAAATACTCTTGACTTACCCAGCTTTGTGAATATAAGCAGGGCTGTGTGGACAATGGGCTTATATATTCTGCAGCAAGAGAAGTTAAGTCTACAAAGTATTAACTAGTCAAATAAACCAAATGTAAACACATTTGCTTGTTTTGCATAATTTATTATTTATCTATTAAGCTCTGGGAAGTAAAATAAGTTAAGCAGAGCAGGGAAACCCTGACTCAAATTCTGAAAATCCTTATTATCCCTACTTTGATTTTGGAGGCTTCAGTAGGCTTACATTTCAGCTTCTCTTTGCCACCACATGGAACAGAAACATGGTTTTCCCCTCCAAAAAGAGGAAAAAGGAAAAAATTCTGAGATTTTTCAGAAGGTTTAATTTTGTGAATACTGCCAATTCCTGTGCCTACAAATTTGTGAAGTACATGCTCCAATTCTTCAAACATACATAAATGTAAAGTCATCCTACCAACCAGGAAAAGACATAAAAATAAGGGGAAATAACAGTGTTGTCTCTTGAAAAAAGCCTGAGTGTGGCAAAGGGGCAATTACATGATTGAGCACATTTCTGCATAGCTGAAGTCATAGCCAGAACGCTGCACTTCAAAGTGTAAAAGATATAATGATTATATTGTAATGGAAGGGTTTATCCCAACACTTCCACTTTCACACCTTATGCATTAGCCATCTGCACCCCTTTTTATTTATTTATGACTACAGGATCAAACCTGCCCACTGCATGTACTCACCGAGACTGGCTGACTCTGTGAGGTTCAGGCTGTGCTGCGAGAGACCCATAGACTGCCGTGGAGAGGACGAAATGGAAACCTGAGACTGGGCTCTACTACAGCTGCCTTGATTTTCAGACTTCAGACGGTCATTTTCGGCTTTCAGTTTCTCAATCTCACTCTAAATTAGAAAAAGCAAATGGTTGAGGAAGGAAAGTGAAGGCACATGCCCTTTGGTGTTTTCTACAAAAGTGTGTAGATGTATCAATGACCTGACACAGGGGTCCTCAAACTTTTTCACCAGGGGGCCAGTTGAAAGGTGCTGGTGCTGGGCACAGGCCGGGAAGGTGGTACCAGTGGGGCACATGGGCCAGCGCAGGAGCAGGGACGGGGCGCACAGGCGCGGCGGGCCCAGGCTGCGATGCAGCAGCTTGCTTGCTTGGAGACAGTTTTCTCCGAGCGAGTCCAAAACGATCTCTGTGTGAGCAAGCCACTGCCTCCCCATGCGGGAGGTGAGGTGGGTGGCCGCGTTGAAAACCTCTGAGGCAGGCCGGATCCGGCCCCCGAGCCATAGTTTGAGGACCCATGAGGTCCTGACTGATCATGAGGGCAAAAAATGGTGACTTAACCCTGCGAGCAACTTTGGATTTGTGAGCAACTGTAAACAATCTCCAACTGGACTGTGAGAGCATGATGAGAATACCTGGACTACTGGCTTATTTAGACACTGAACAACCCAGCAATTAACACATGGCTGACTACTAGGTTAACCACTGGGCCTCTGAACAACCCACCAGTCCAAGTCTGTGTGCTAAACCACAACCACCAATTAAGCCAATTGGACACTGTTTACAGAAAATGTAAATTATTATTATTATTATTATTATTATTATTATTATTATTATTATTATAACATTTCTATGCCGCCCCTTGCCGAAACCTCGGGGCGGCTTACAACACAATAAAATACATTGAAATGCAATAGAACATAATAAATTACCATTAAATACAAAAATACAAAAAATACATATAAAATTAAAATTATCATTATAAAATAAGTAAATAAAAATATAGGAGGAGAAAGAGAAGGAAGAAGAAGTTGCCCTGGCCAGATCATATGTTTTAACAATTGAAATGATGTTTAAATAAAAAGGTCTTTACCTGGCGCTGAAAAGCCAGTAACGACGGTGCCAGGCGGACCTCTTTGGGGAGTGAATTCCATAGGTTGGGCGCCACCACAGAGAAAGCCCTTCTCCGAGTAGTTACTCTCCTAATTTCTTTCATGAAGGGTTCCCGGAGAAGGGACTCTCCCGCAGATCTCAAAGGGCGGTCGGGCATATATGGACGTAAGTGCTCGTTCAGGTAGCCAGGACCCAAGCCGTTTAGGGCTTTATAGGTCATAATCAGCACCTTGAATTGGGCCCGGGCTTCAATGGGAAGCCAGTGAAGTTGATGGAGGACTGGAGTCATGTGAGCATAACGCCTCGTCCCCGTCAGCAACCTGGCAGCTCTATTTTGCACCAATTGAAATTGCGTTTGTATCCCAGCTTTTTTCCTCTTACAAGGAACCCAAGGCAGCTTACATAGTCCTCCTACACTATATTTTATCCACACAACAAGAACCCTGTGATGTAGGTTAGACTGAGAGTCAGTGACTGGCCCAAAGTCATCCAGGTGATCTGGCTGAGTAGGGACTAGAATCCAGATCTTCTTTCCAAACATCTATCTACCACACCACACCACACCACACCACACCACACCGGTAATTTTAATGACTATGATTTAAAATTACTGTGATTGCCTTGGTATTTCCTTTGGAATGAAAAATATAGCCGCCTGTATAATTCTTCAGAGAAGGTTTAATGTTAGGTTTTGTGGATGGATCTATGTGTATGTGTGGGGAGGGGAGGCATATTACTAAAATCCTCTCCCACCTGCATCCTGTTCATAGCTTCCCGAAGCTGGTCAAGCTGGTGGGCAGAGCTCAGGGCCTCCAAACGGATATCTGTCAGCTTCATCTCTTTGTCTCTCAGCTCATTTCTCAACTGCATAACTGTGTCAGCTTCGCTATCAAGGCATTCTGAGATCCTGCAAGAAAACATTTTAAAAATAAACACTTAGCCATGAAGATAGTGGGAAGCATCAATTCTGAAGGCAAGCACAAATTAAAGCTTTAATATCCTGGCTTCAACAGAAAAAAACTGCACCACAGCAGTTAACTGAATCAGAAAACAAGAACACCATTTTGATTGTGACTTATATTTAGATTTAACAGACAAGTTGGCTGATAGATGCACAACATTCTGTGGGGAAACGATTAAGCTTGAAAATCCCCAGTACAATGGGGAAGTGTAGTGGCAAAGCCCACCTGGAGACCAATGATCTTAAAGGAGAGGTTTAACGCTGAACAGGGTAGTGCAGAGCCAGGCCTCCCTGGATGATTCTGGAAGGTTTAGCAATCTGATACACATTCAGGCAAGAAAAATTCCTGTGTGCTGTACACTATGCAGGTTTTTAGAAAAAGCAGCAGCACACACAGCGTCATTCTTTTGTTACCAGCTTCCAACCACCACCACCACCACCACCTTCTTCTCTCTTGTCTTACTCAATTGGGTTTAATTACTTTCCAACATATAAAAAAGCAGTACAATTTTCTGGCAATTTTTTATATTGTGGCATGTTGTGAATACATACTTTTTCAGTTCTTTCAACAGTGTTCAAAAACAGTCTCATGATAAAGCAGTCAAGAAACAACAAAGTGAGACAAGACCTCTGAAGAAAAAAGCTTGTTTAATGTCTATGTTAGTGACTAGATTCTCAGAGGTCAAGTTCAGGCTCATAAAAAGCCTGCCTCAAATGAGAGATGAGGATATTTAGGAAGGAAGGAAGAAAAGATCTTTTGCTTGGATTTAAAGACAAGCTGGAGAAGAACTTCAAGCTCCCATTTGCCAATGTATTCCAGCACTCCCTTTTCCCAAATATCATCTCTGCTAGCCTGCACTCCCTCAAAATGTCCCTTTCCTGCCCTAAAGCTGTGACAGTGGTGGGAGCAGCAGCAGAAAAGCAACAAGAGGAGAACGATATTTGCACTTCTTTCCTCTGTGTCCGTCATCCTGATGTAGTCGCTGAAGTATTTCATAGGAGATTCACCTATGGCAGTCATTGGAAGAAATGCATTTCTTACAGTGCTGTATCATCTACATCTCATCAGTATCCAGTGTGTCTGGGTGATGGACAGAGACAGAACCTCCTTCACCTCCTTCCCTATGCATCTTTGCTGCTGTTCCTGCTTGCTACCACAGGCTCAAGGTGGGAAAAGAGAAGGGCAGTGTGGAGGATGGTTTGCTGAGACAAAGGGATTTGGTAGGCTGGTGGAAACTAGTGGAGACTTGTTATTTTTTCTAAACAGAGAGACTGGCTCAAAAGCATTACTGAGTTGCTCTGGGATGGTTTGCGGAGGGAAGACTGAGTAATTTTGGGCTATCTGAGGCAACTCAGTGTGAGGACTGGCCCACTCTTCCTATAATAATAGCCTTTAAAGTTTGCGAAATCAGATTCCAATTTGGAAATTTGGCTAGAATTCACATTTGTGTTGCCAAGACTAGAGGATCCAGAGATAAGCTAGGCAGTTGCCAAGACTCTATGGGAAAGTCTAGTGGGCCACCTGGTAAGGGTAAATGCAGAGCCAGTATCATGAATATGACCATACAGAGTCAAGCTAAGATGCTCCAGGTGACTGAGCCATAAGCAGCATGATTCACCTTGAAGGCAGAGTAAACTCTTTTTGGTTTGGAAGGGAGGAGAGGGATTCAGTTTGGAATAAGCTTCATTTCATCAAGTCATATTTTCCTAATGGCCAGTATTCTAAGTTAGCGTGTTCCTTTTTGTTAGTGACTTCTGCAGTACTCTTATATTACAAACCCAACCCTGGCTGGTCAGCTTTAGCGTAAGAAAGACTTTTAGTTAGACACTCTTTGTCCTGATCTGCTTAGAAAGAGAGGGGAAGTCCTGCCAAAGCACTTAGAAACATAGGAACATGCAGTAAATCAAGCCAGACTATTGGTTTAGGGTTTCCAGAAAGGAAGCAATACCCTTGTATGGAAATTCTGGAATTCACACTAGAGCATTTTCAGGGCTTTGGATTGAGGTTAGAAGATTTCTTCAAAAAGAAAAAAAATACTCCAGTGTAAGAAGAATAAAGTACCAAAATATAATTCCTCCACCTTCCCAGTAAGGAGATCATATTTACTTCTACTGATTCTAACAGACTGGAAGTTAATCAAAATCAGTGGAGTGAAACCAACCTCAAGCAATACAGACTTCAAAAGAAAATTGTGTTTTGAGTATTTCATACAACGGGCCTGCAGAAAATATAGTCCTCCTTAGGTGACTTTCATGCTGGAAATACTATGTGGGCTGAATCTGCGAACTGCCCCATTGCCTTTATGTATTTGTTGTGTCTTTCTGTTATCTAATAGAGGTCACCACCTGAAAAGCAAATAAATCAAGGCGGAAGCCCCAGGCACACTGATCCTCTGCATGTCCCTTTTGTAATCTTCTACTATCTTCTCAGGTCTTTGTTCAGACTTGCCATAGCATAGTTTGACTGATGCTAGGCGCCAGTCTAAAAGACATGATAGATTTCATGGCTTTAAGCTTTGCCTAACATTCCATACCAAAGGAACAGAACAGTTTCAAAGTGTAAGATTAAATGGCTGCAGGTGAGCTTTGGAAAAGAAGTAAGCTTTTAAAAATGAAAAGAGATGATCATTTGATATCTAAAATTTTAGTACCTTTTTTCTTATGAATGCAAATTTCAATAATTCAGAGATTTTCTTATGTTCAGATAGACTCTTTTTTCTCATTTCTATTTATGCTACATGGATCAATTCACTTCACTAAGTAGTAAAGGAGAACTTTGCTTTGACTAGAGAAGCCAGAAATGGTTACTATATCCACAGATCTGAAGCACTGTTTACATTCACTACTTTTTCTTGAATCCTTTCAAGTACTCGTGTCAGCTTCTCCAGACCCAAACAGTATTCCTCAAAGCTAGGATCTAAAGTGGCTGTTTGATGACTATCCTCTCATCATTTCTCTTGCAGCTAAGCTATAATTTTCAGGCATATGCTGAACGAATTCATATGTTTCTCAAATGAACTGGCTGAAGAATGCAAAGGAAGGGTGAGCTCAGATTCTTACTTTACATTTAACACTTATGTTCCAATATCTGGGGGAAAAAAAAATCCCAAATCAAAACTGAGGTGTTTGCCTATCCAATGAGCACCCTCTAAAATGCATGAATTTTCTAGATTTAAATATAGAAATAAAGAGAACAAAAGGCATATGAATTTACTTAGGCAAAATGAATTCACTAAGGTGGACAAAACTAAGAGAATAGTAGCAGTGGAGGTTCAAGAACAGAATTAGCAAAAAAAAAAAAAAAAGGGAGGGGGACATCGGTTTATACCTTCTAACAGAGATCAAGATAAAAAGATTCAGAATAAAATGTTGAATATCCTTCCTGAGGGATATGACAATTTCCTCTGAGGCAGCAGAAAAGTAGAGTGTGGAGACAAGGGTTTTAAAATTCACACATATGTGAAAAAAGGACAAAAGTGTAAATTGCAGAGAAGGTGCTTCATACAGAGAAGATCATACAGTAAAAAGGAAAGAACATCCAGTAAAGAAAATCTATTTGAACCTCAGTTTCTTGCCTCTTCAAAGGATAGTATCCTATTGCACCTACGCAGTAACAAAATCCAGTGCAAGCATTGTTCACATGTTCTTCCACATGAACAGAAAAAAGTTTCTGGAACATGTCAATTCAGCACACTTTACAGATGCATTAATGAACATTTCTAATCATTTATGGGGTTATTTTTAGAAGCGCTACTGCCCCATTATGCAAGTGGTGAGTCCCATGTGTGCAAAAGAATCAGCAGAGGAAGAAGGGCCTCACTGGTTATTACCCATAGAATCCAAAGCAAAATGAGACTTAATTTTTATATAATGCTACTAGGTTAACTGCTGGAGAAGACTCCTGTGAGTCCCTTGGACCGCAAGATCAAACCAGTCAGTCTTAGAGGAGATCAACTCTGACTGCTCTTTAGAAGGCCAGATACTGAAGACGAAACTCAAATACTTTGGCACCTAATGAGAAAGAAGGACTCCCTGGAGAAGAGCCAAATGCTGGGAACAATTGACGGCAAAAGAAGAAGGGGACGGCAGAGGATGAGGTGGCTGGATGGAGTCACTCAAGCAGTTGGTGTGAGCTTAGGTGGACTCCGGGGGATGGTGGAGGACAGGAAGGCCTGGAGGAATGTTGTCCATGGGGTCGCGAAGGGTTGGACGTGACTTTGCAATCAGCAACAACTAGATTAACAGGTTTGTGTGTGTGTGTGTGTGTGTGTGTGTGTGTTAGCATGGAAATACAACTCACAGAGAATTGGAATGTGAAGTTCTCAGCAACGGTGTAGACATGACTGAGCCATTGTGATGCAGTTTTGGTGATGAAGGCAAAGAACAATCTGTCATCTCCTCGATATCTGAATGAGAAGATGCTGACTTGGGGGACTTCTTTTTACCAAAAGCTTGTTTGAAGGAACTGCGTAACTGAAAGAAGAAGACCAAAACAAGAGAAATAATTAATATAACAAATCATGGTTTGGAAGAAGAAGAAGTAGAAGACAATGAAGACAAAGAGGAGGAAGAAAGAATACTTAGCATGCAACACAGTTTTTAAAATGGTTTCATAAGGTCATTTTCTGGTGGTAATTAATAACTAAAGTGCAGAGTTTCTTCCTTTTCATCTTCTTCTTCTTGAAGTCTTTGCATCCTATTTAGAAAGGACAAGAGTCTAAAATGCTGTTATGCTGGCATTTGACAAGATCTGCTCTGAAGTGCATCTTTCCACTAGTAAGACATTGCAAATTCTTTTCAGCTCGAGAGTAATTTAGTTACAGGGTTACAATACGTTGCAGTTATGCAGTGACATGGCTCAGACAAGGTTACTGAAGTGGGCAGAGTTAATCATATAAATGGATGAGTTAGCCTTGCATTTTAGAATTTAAAATACATCTTCCTTACCTCATTGACCTGCCAGAGGAAGTGCAAGCAAAAAGGGAAGGGGGAAGGAAAAAAAGACAAGTTTTAACAGGTAAAGCCAGTGACAGGGAAAGCGCCCCCCCCAAAAAACCCAGCACACGTAACAAATTATTTTAATGGAAGGGATTTGTTTAAAAGAACATCATCTTTAGACATTTTACAGAACTGGAATGATAGATTTCAGTCTAAACTTTATATTGAATTGTATGCAACAAAATTCCTTTGTATCAGCCCAGCAGAAAATGTCACACAGCTTCTCAAGATACTGCTCACAAATGTCTTCATGCATCTGCACCACATGTCCAGGCAACTGCATGTTCTGAGAACTTGCATATGCAACCAGGGGACCTGACAGCAACTATATGACCTATGTGTGAAGTCTGAATATGCAGATGTTAAAGGGCCTCCAGAAAGCCTGGTCCCCTTCTATGTCTTTACCAAATGAATGGAGGATGCAAGGTCTTTAGGGTATGATTATTAGTTGCCTACTATTACAGGCACCAAAATCAGGCTCACGTATAACTCTCTGATTCTGCTCATCACTATGATATTCCTATTCCAGGAGGTCCGGAATGTATTGGTACTTGGGGTGTCCCCAAAACTGGGACAATGAAATAACTAGAGAAATAAGTTTCATTATTCAGTCTCAGGGGAGATCCCACATTCAAACAACTCTATCAAGCGCTAGGGAAGGTGAAAGTTTTTCACATCCATGCTGGAAACTCACCTGCAGACTAATTGTTTTGGGGACACCAATTTTATGGTGGGTACAGGGGGAGCCTTAGTCTGAATAGAACCTGCATCTCCTCTTACTCTCTAGCCCTTTCTTGGAGTTCTCAAATCCATCTGAGTCAGGGTGAGATACATTTATTTGGGGTATAACACACAGAAGCCTAAGACTCAAAGGGACTATAGGAACTATAGGCTTCACTTCAAACTACAAAAGAGCAACGTCACTAAGGAAGGAATAGCTTCACAAAAAATGGGGCTTGATGATGGGTACCTTTCCTCCAGCACATGGGACCTTGCATACAATAAATGTTGAGCAAAGAAGAAATGGGAAGTGAAAAACAATTATTTCCAGGTAGCATTTCTATCACAAATTAACCTTCAAGATTTCTGTGTTGGTATCTCCATTTTTACAATGATAAACAAAAAAGGCCTCAAGGAATAATAAACGTAATTAATACTTGCTCAACAGCTGTACCAGGTATTTCAAGGCATTGAGGCAGTTGTACACCAGCAGTCTATATTACTCATTTATCTCAACCATGATTACCCACCATAGTCTGAAATTCATTTCTATTTAAATTCACCTACATTTCAACTACTGTAGCATGAAATACTTTTCTGCGTGAATTCTTAACATATATTGTGCTTAGATTTAAATGTTCAAACTGAAGAAGCAAGCAGCACAAGCAGTTCAAGGCAAACAATACTGGCTGTGACTGAACTTCTTCTCTGTGCTCCCACTAAAATGCAGCTGCAGGGCAACACAAATATATTTGAAGCAGTAGGGTCTGTGTGTGTATTTAATCCTTCACCACAGGTTATCTGTAGATCAAAATTGTTCTATCCAGTTTGTCCATTGGCTACCCCACAGTTTAAAAATTGCACCAGTGTTAATCTCTCCTACTGCTCCAGCGAAAATAGTTCAGAGAAATTTGCAACCAATGTTGATGCACTTCAGTGGGAAAAATAAAATGGAGATTCAATTAGAGATCTCCCATGGAACATATACCTTGGGTTTATCTGCTTCTACTCTTTAGTTTTCAAAATGTGTTCAAGAAAATATTCATTCATTGGACATCTATAATACCCATCTTAGCTCAGTAGGCAATTGCCTGTTTGACTCATGCCCTGCATCATCTAATTCATTTGTTATACTCTGCTGAAATATACATACCCAGTTCTTTCTCTTCTTTTTCTTAGAGTCACATTCTATGTTGCTTCCCACACTGGAATGACTAGTCGCACTGTTGATGCTAGAGACACTGTCTGAAGAATGCTGTCTTCGGATCCGCAAATCGCTGGTCTGGGCACTTCCACTACCTAGACAGCAATTTAGACCTTATGACATACATTCAGAGAGAGCACCAGTCCTTCCATCTGCACTTCTACATGTACGTTCTCCTCTACCTCCCCTTGCTACCATCAGCAAACACTATCACCTCCTTTGTAGCCAGTGCGGGCAGCTGGCATTGCCCTATGCCATAGTTTTTCTACTGCCATTGCCTGCACCACACACAACCTCAGTTGCTCCTTCACTGCTGACATACTATCCTAGCAGCTCACACGGGATCACTGTAGCGATGACAGAAGGAAGTGCACCTTGACAGGTGGGACAGCCAAGCAGTAGTGGCAAGGGAGGACGAACAAAGTAGAGCCACTGCGACTACTGCGTAAAATTACCACAGTGGTGGAAGAGGAACTGGTGGTGAGATGTGGGTGGCACATGGCTTCAGCTGTTAAGAAGGAGAAAGCAGGCAGGTAAGAAAGGCGAGTGAGGGATCAATGAAAGGTTATTTGGAAGACGGAGCAGGAACTGCCACTAATTGTCCTTTTCCCCCAGAGTTGTTACAGCCATTGACTAGGGTAAGAACCACTCTGTATTAAATGCATGTGCTATATGTGGAACATCCTGCACTGTAATATCATGCAGATGGTCTAAGCGGCAAGTCTATAAACACTCTTAGTAAAGTGGGCCTACAGTTCCATGAAAGAAATCAAAAGACAATTTGATAATTATATAGTTTATCTCTGGCAACAAAGTTTGCATCAGCTATTACCAAGGGGATGAATGCCCTCTGAGCACTACACTGTTATTGAAAGCGAAGGCTGCATCTTTCCCTTTACCTTTGCAGGTGAGCTCAGGTGTGTTAATAACTCCATTAATGGCAGCCTGAGCAGCAGCATTTTGTTTCTTCAGTAGCTCAATAGTTTTTCTTAACTCATTCAGTTCTGAATCCTGCAGAAGAAAAAACAATTTATTTATTTATTTATAAGTTTCTATATGCTGTCCCCTTGCTATGTAGCCTCGGGATGGCTCACAGAAATAAATACAATATAAAAGATACAATGTAAATACAATATAAGATTGGTCAGATTCACAAGGGAGGAGGCTCTCAGTGGCTGCTAGCCTTGTTTGCTATGTGCTTTGCTATGTCCTTTACCAGAGATTGTCTGCATATACCAGTTGCTGAGGAGCTTGGACAGGAGGAGGTCTTTCACCCATCCTGTTTGAGGGATTTTGTGGGCAGTTGGTGTGGCAACATGTTTACACAATGCTCTACTAGATGGACCTTGGGTCTGATCCAACAAGGGTTTTCTTATGTTCACATGTGCTTTGTATTCATAGTGCTCAAGCTTAATAGTGCAGAGATTTTCCAAATCTGTTGTCACTGAATCCATGAATTCCACACATAAAATAGATGATAATGTAGTGAAATCTGAGTTTTAGGTGATACTTGTGAGTTAAAATGCATGGTTTGGGAACTTAATTCTAGTTACAACATACAAATGTTGGACTTCGTGTGATAAAATATATATTTCCAGGTTGCAGAGTTCATTCTAACAACAGTGTTACGGCTGTGTGATAAGAGAATGTAGGATTTTGTAGCACACAGTTCCAGAAACGTAAGCATAGTAGCTCAAGGACATTCACTTACAGTTTCGTGACCAAGATCTGGGCTTGTTCTCTCACAATGAAGTTTTGGTTCTATTTCTTTTATGAATTTCTTAATACACTCAAATTACTAATTCTAAGAACTGTTACTGAAATTGGGTCTTCAGTTTGAATCATTTGTGTCAATTTTACAGAAATTTTAAATTACGGATATCAAAATGTTATTTCTACATTCTCCAAAGTGTGTTCAAGCAGCTTGTACAGCACTGAAGGTTGAAAGTACAATCTATTAGCAGGTCAAATATTCAACTGGTAATCTACGATGAGTCTAAATGGAGACTAGAGCAGAGGCCTACTATCTGGAGCTAGATAGGCTTCTTTTGTCCGAGATTCCAGTGTTTGCTCATGTTTTTGTCTAACTAATCAACAGTGGCAACAGATACAAAAGGGAGCAGTAAGGATACAATGTAAGTGTACATGTGAACAGGCTTGGTAGGTTGGTTTGGGGCTTACTCCTATAGTCTAACTCAGGGAAAGGTCCCTAAGCCTCCCAGAGAACTTTTGGCCATTGGACAGTATAGAAATGAATCAAACAAGCAAGCTACAACAATGTGTGGCTCTCCAGATGCTGCTGGGCTGCAGTTCCTTACCAGTAGTTAGGTCAGCTACATCTGATGGGAATTTCAGTCTAACAACATCTGGAAAGTCACCTATTTCTCATCCCTGGTCTAAATGATCAGCACATTCCACATCATGAAGGAACATTCCTCAAGTCAGGCTGGCTGGAGTCTAGTGTGCCATTTGTGTGTTTCTGCGTCCTGATTTCCCCACATCTTAAGGCATGACTCATATCTCTGACCAAATGAGCTAATTTCACAAGCTCTAACAAGCACACAATAGCGTGCTGGCTGCTAATCTGTAGCACACTGATTTGGATTGTGTGGACTAATCTATGATAAGTATTTGGACTTAGAGCACATC